TGAATAAACTTTTTATGAAATGTTAAACACTATAAAGTTTAGTATTTCACATAGATTAATTAATTCTTTTTACAATCATACTCATTGGTTTTTTCCTCCAAATTCAATTAATTAAATAATTAATGTCTTTTTTTGTCATTTTAAGTTAAACACCTATTTAAATAGTTATTTTATCAAATACTTCTAATTTAACTACTCTATAATTAAAGAACTACCTATTAAAAGTTAATAGCTAACAATACACGGCTAATAGAATAGCTAAGAGCTACTACAATAACTAGCAATTACTAAAAGAGTTAATATTATCGAACAGATCCTAAAACCTAATATTGCGGGTCATGTACTTCATTATATGCGTAATAATTATAAGCGATGCTCTTGAAACCAAAGCTAATATTTGCGGGTGTCATGTACTTCATTTATATGCGTAATAATTATAAGCGATTGCTCTTGAAACCAAAAGATATATATATATATAATATATATATATATATATATATATATATATATATATACACGAAACTTGGAAGCAAAATTTGATGAAACATGACACAATTCTAAAACTTAATTCACGTTAGTTGGAATTTAAATTTTTTTATATGAAACGAATTAATTCCAATATCATTTACGATATTATTAATTTTTATGCTCTTTTGTTTCCGTAAAAATAATCTTGCTGAAAAATATTTTTCATGGAAAACATTTTCCTTGAAAAATATTTCCAAATGATTTATTTTCCGTTGTTTGGTTGTAATGATATTGAACAATTAGCTTAATAAAATATAAATGTTTTATCTCAATGAGACCAATTAAAAAAAATAATTGTAATAATAATAAAGAATATTTTATAAATTTAAAAATTTATTTGTGATAAATATGAAAAGAAGGCCAAAAAATATATAATAATAAATATTTATATTTATTGAAAAGTCTGGCCGTGTGGCATCTGCGCGTGATGGTGGCCGTTTAGAAATTTTATAATTTAAAAAATTTATTGATAAATATGAAAAGAATGCAAAAATATATATATATATAATTTATGAAAGCTGCCGGTGGCCCGTGGTGGTGGCCGTCGGTGGCCTATGGTGGTGGACGGTGGTGGTAGTCGATGATAAATGGTAACTGATGGTAGTGATTATAATGATTAATAAATTAAAAAATATGGATTTATAAGATTTGTCAATGTACAAAAAATGTTTTACTCCCTCGAAAATAGGAAGTTGGTATTCTTAAAAAAATGACTTAATTTTCATTTGACTAGAAAAATATTTTCAATTGACTTATTTTTCTGAACGCCCCAAACAAAAGAAAATTGTACAAAATATTTTCCTACAAGTTATTTTATGGAAACAAATGGAGCCTTAGTTCTAATATAGGCGGTGTTCTTAAGGATAGCATTTCTTCTATCCTTGGTGTGTAATCATTTAAATCATGGTTCTTATTTGGATTTACCTTCTTTAATGGGTCGCAATACGCGTCAGGTTTTTTTCTTTATCAAAGATATGTTTGGAGAAGATTAATGACTGGGGTAATAGATTCATAAATAGAGCAAGTAGCGACGTATTATTGAAATCGGTAGCTCAAGCTATTCTTTCTTATCGCATTAGCGTTTTCTTGATTCCGTAGCCCATTTGTAATGAGCTAGAGGTTATGATGAATAGATTTTTGTAAAATGATAAAAAAGATAGAAGCTGGGAAATTCATTAGATATCCTGGGATAACATGAGTGATCATAAGAGGGAGGGAGCTATGGGGTTCAGAGACATTCATTGCTTCAACATCGTACGTTAGGTAAACAAGATTGGAGACTTTTAACGGAAATAAACACTTTTTTCTGTAGAATTTTTAAAGCTAAATATTTTCCGCAGGGGATTTACTTAGAGCATCCCTTGGTAATAATCCTAGTTTTGTATGGAAAATTGTGTTGACTTCAGTTGATGTGTTGAAATAAGGTTAGATGGCGAGTTGGTAATAAAGAAGATATTATAGTTAATAGTAATCCATGGATTCCCAAAAATAATTCCTTTATGGCTGATGATGGAGATACGTTTCTTAATACAACTTTGAATTTGTATGATCTTTTTGTAAATGGAGCAATTAGTGGGACATTGTGAAGATCATGACTCTCTTTAGTGCTAGAGATGTTTGGGTTATTTTGAATATCCCATTGAATATTCATTCTCAAAGGGATGCTTAATGTGGCATTTTGATAAGAGATGTATGTATACGGTTAAATCGGGGTACTTTTGTGAGTAGGAGTGTGTTGGGTAGAGAACCTCCTAGGATACACGGGGATATATATATGGAGTAGACTGTGGAGGTTAGATATTCCTCCAAAAGTTAGAGATTTTTTATGGAGGTTTCTGTGGTGTGCTTCCTACCAAGGAAGCTTTAAAATCGAGTGGGATAGTGATTCAAGGAGGAGGTGAATAACGTGTTGATTCACTGTGCTCGTCCTTTGGAGATTTGGAGGACGGATGGGTTTTGAGGTTTTAAGTCCAACTATTTTTTTTACTAGGTTTTTCATGCAGGTTTTTGATGGACAAGGAAAGGAGGCTGCCAATTTATTTTCAATTTATGCTTGGAAAATCTGGTTATCAAGGAACGATTTTTTGTAGAACGATTTATTTTCAATTTATGCTTGGAAAATTTGCTCTTCACCAAATCAAGTCCATATAAATGCGTATACTTCCATGCACAAATCGACGTGTTTGTCTTCAACGTCAGGTGGTCTTGATAATCCCAGTCCAACATGACAAGCTTTTATGGACGGAGCCAGTTTTCAAGCTCAATATTATTAGCTTTTATGCTATGTCGGGTTTTCAAGAAGACAATGGTGACTCTCTTATCGTTGAAGCTCTAGCTCTTCGTCAATGTCTTCGAGTTAATTTCACTTGAAGGACTTAAAGTATATAGATAATTATTTAATGGTATATCAATTTTAATTTGTAACTTAAAAATATCTAATTTTATATCTTATATTTTTGTAACAGTAAAATGTCTTTTGTCGCAATTTAATTTTTTCATTGGCCAAAATGCCACGTATACAACATGTGGACATTTTTTATTAATTTTTTTAATTAGAAAAAAACTTCTCTTCCAGTGAAATAAACCCAAATTAATCCAATCTCTAGGGTAATGGTTATATATTTTTTTTATTGACAGGTCTTAGCCTATGCTATTGACTCTTTAAACCTGAAAATTCAGAGTTTGATTTATTTGTTTCCGATTGTAAAGTACTCCTTGAGAATAGGCTTAATATTAGGTCAAGTGGATTACAAACAAGCCAATGTTGATTTTCATTCCTTTGCTAGCGCATCAATCAATCATGGTCACCTCCATATTTGGGATTCCATCTCGATTTCCTGTCAGACTTTTATCTATGAATTTAATGGGCATTTCTCTCTTTCAAAAACGAAACTAAAATATTTTCTTTATAATCCTCAAACCATTTATATAATATATTCTTAAACTCAATTAAATAAAGTTTATTCACATTTACTCAGTGTCCCATTTTTTTTATTACCTTTCCAAATTTATTTACACAAGAAAAAAAAAAAATGAAACAATTAACTGAAGCGAAAACTGAAATCGAAACTGACCCTAAATCAAAACAGTCTAAAACTGACAGGAAATATCAAAAGACCAATGTCAATCTCATTTCAGAGTCCTAAAAAAAAAAAAAAAAAAAAATTCCACATACTCAGTGGACCATTTTTTTATACCGTTTCCATAATTTTTTTTATCCAACAAGAGAAAAAAAAAAAATGAAACAATTAAACTGAAGCGAAAACTGAGTAATCGAAACTGAACCCTAAAATTCAAAAACAGTCTAAAAATGACAGGGAAATATCAAAAGACGATGTCTAAAATCTCATTTCAGAGTCTAAAAAAAAAAAAAAAAAAGCCCAAATTGTGCCATGTAGAGGGGTAAATGTGCTGCGCGGTGAATGGCCTTATCCTTTGCTGTATTCAACTTTCTGATAAGTCTAAGTGCAAAAACGATATCAAACCAAGCAGAAGAGGAAAAAAAAAAAAAGCAAGAACAACAAAAAAGGAAACAAATAAAAGGGTGTGGTGTCCGTACGTAGCAAAACGCCATAACACCTAGCGAGTGTTAAAAAACTACACAATTAAAAAAGCAATGAACGTTTAACATACAACACAAATTGCCACAAGTATACAGGTTCCAACTTCCAAGGTTGCAATTTTGCCCCGCAAGAACACTTTCAGTGCACAAAGGAAAAGGGAATAACACAAACGCGAAGAACCATCCCTGATGAAAAAATGCCTAAATGCATCAACATATTTGATAACACTGCTTTGCCAAAAACGATTGTGCATGTAGTCTATATATCTCGCCTTTTGACAAAACTCAATAGACTGTGCGAGCATACCGCTATCGAATAAAATCATTTGCAAATTAATTAAGATATATAGTAAGCCACTAATTTTCCACATGCTATTACTAAAGTAGCCTAAAAGAATTGTCACAAGAGCATGTACAACAAGACTACCGATTGCCCCTTCCCACCAAAAAAAAAAAAAAAAAAAAGCCCAAATTGCCCAATGTAGAGGGGAATTTGCTCCGATGAATGGCCTTTCCTTTGCCCTTTTCAACTTTCTGAAGTCAAGTGCAAAACGAACAAACCAAGCAGAAGAGGAAAAAAAAAAAAAGCAAAACAACAAAAAAGGAAAACAAATAAAAGGATTGTGTTCCGTAGCGTACAAAACCCATAACACCTAGCTAGTGTTAAAAAACTACACAATTTAAAAAAAGCAATGAACGTTTACATACAACACAAATTGCCCAGTATACAGGTCCAACTTCAAGGTGCAATTTGCCCCGCAGACACTTCAGTGCAAAAGGAAAGGGAAAAACACAACGCGAGACATCCCTGATAAAAAATGCTCAAATGAATTCAACTATTTGATACTGCTTGCCAAAACGATTGCAGTAGTCTATAATCTCGCCTTTGACAAACTCAAAGACTGCGACATACCCTTCGAAAAATCATGCAATTAATTAGAATATCGGATAAGCAACTATTTTCCACATGCTATTACTAAGTAGCCTAAAAGAATTGTCACACATGTACAACAAGATCTACGATTCCCCTTCCACCAGATAAAACAACGCGAAGAAAGAAAACCCCCTAAGAATAGAGTGCGTGCAAAATTACATTGAGCTTAATTGTGGCAATTTAAAATACAACTTGGTAACACCAGGAAAAAGAGATTCACCACAAAACCAAACAGGCAGTTCAATGCATGCAGGTCCATCAAGGATATAAAAATAGTATCACTTGCTCCTTCCTTCAACAAGACAGCAATACCAGGGATGAAGCTGGCCCTTGCAGCTTGTCATCCTTCTTAGTGTGAGAATCCAAAAATCAGTTCACGCTGATATCGGTTCGTACGGATATGACAACCATGGGTGCTTCAGAGCCTCTGATGCAGAGGGACGCTTTTTTGGGTTTATTTCAAGCAAATAAGCAACAAAGTCAATGAAGCCTTGATCCCCCATTGGCAATCGATGCCTCAAGGATGTCTTTTTTGGTATCAGGTATTCCAATCTGTTGGTGTCCTGAAGAATACACGTAATAAACAACATCAACCAAAATATAAAGTAACAAAAGTTACTTAGCATGCTTCAGCATCAACATTTTAGATCGAGGACAAAAAGAAAGTGTATCAATGCAAGAAAGACCATAAATGCCAGCATGTTTGGCAACTAGACTTGATCAAATCAGAAGCTCAAGTTGGACCCTCCAACTCCCAGCCCTATTGTTATATTATAATTTATGAGATAAAATTGAGTCAAAGCTACAATATATTAGTGACAGATGCTCCAAAGAAGCGCTTCCTTTTGACAAAGGTTTGAACATTTTATTCATAACCATTCATGAACAGGTGATAAATATGTAGTAACCATAAAAAATAACTAGCCTATGCTTGAAAAAACACAAATATATTTCAATGAACTTGTATTGTGAAATGAAAAAAAAAAAATTTATTATGGTAATAAGATATCGCCGATCATTAGCTAGGTATCACATTGAATAATATTCAAACTTAATTGTTTTCTAATGCGATACAACAGCTGTAAGCAGTGTTGTTAGAATCATACGATTCACAATACAAATCATTAGTCGAATTTTCAATTGAACTTAGGAACAACACAAATTATTAGGTTTTATTTAGCATATGATTGATATTGGAATTTTCAATTGAATATTTTGGTTGATTCTCAAAAGGCTGTAGCGAATCTTACGATTCGATTCGATTCTCGATTCTCGATTCAAAAAATGAGGCTTCCGATTCACAATTCAATTCTTGATTTGACAACATTGGTTTTCACGTTAATTTCGTAGTTTATTTGTTTAAAGTTTTACATCTTTATTTCTAATTTTCTTAGTTTTGATTCTTTTAGCATGTTTAAGGCTTTTCTTTGAAGATTTTAGGTATAGTTGATGATTTGTATGAAAAAGGAAGCCAACTAAGCAAGTTTATGCTCAACATGACTTGGCCCTGTTTGAAACCAAGGTTACAAGACTGCCTTGCTGAAGAATGATGTAAAATACGTGATCCCCAAATCAACAAGGCCCAGCCTTGCTGAGACGAAGACTGCAGGACCAGAGCATGTTGAAGTTGGCGTGTATTCCCATCCGAAATCTAGCAAGTCCTAGCCTTGTGCAGCCCCTCCATTGACAAGATCAAGCCTTGTTTTTCCTATTTAATTATATTCCTTCTCAAATAAGGACTTTGAAGCTTCCTATTTAGTACTAATCCTATTTGGACAAGTTTGTGTAAAATTCTATATAAAGAGGGATTGAAGGTCAAGAGAAAAGATGATCCAAGAAGCCTGGCTCCAAATCAAAATCGCTCTTTCTCAAAGAAAATCCATATTTTGCAAGGGGTTAACAAGGTTTACATGAATCTATAACACTGTCAATTCAATTTATATCGAACCAATCACTTGATGTGATTCTTTTCAATTAGTTTCGAGAGAAAGAATTTAAGGTTCACCATATGACTTCGACACCTTATCCAATTAATTTTTCCACCTCAACAAGAAGGAAATTTTCCAGGTTACCAATGCAAAGATTCAGTGCTAAATGCTTAACTAAAAAACATGTTTACTATCAGAACATCATGAAATTTGTTTGTATGAGTGTAGTGTCCAAAGTACCAAAAACACCATACAATTGATAGGTATATGGATATCATACAGTATTAAAAATAATATCTAGATACCATTGCTGGTCAATAAGATGATAAATTATAAATCGATATATTAGACTATTACAAATAAAATTATACAAATCCATTTGAAGCAAAATTTTCATGCTCCAATTTGTGTTTACAATAAAGCAAGAAATTACTTACCTTTATATCAACTATATTCAATTTATATGCTAATATAGTTAGCTTGAGCTCATTGTAAGCATATAGAAATAGATTTATGATAACTGGTACTTTCAAATCTCTTCAAAAATATTTCTCATTTTTATGGAAATTTTGGCATTTTATGTTGTCTCTTAGAAATTTTTGTTTTGGCATTTAATTTGGATTTTATTTTAGGTTATAGATAGATGATTGGACAATATTAATTAATGATTTAATATTGTGCACACTGGAAATCATCTTAGTAGAAGATCAGAAAATATTCATCAATATGTCATTTATCCAAAGACCAAAATATTCGAGGAAATATAGCTTGGATGCATAGAACAAAAATTGTTTGATAATAAGCAAGGCATCTCTGTTTTTCTGCTAAACAGGGTGTACTGAATTCATAATTCATTAGATACTTTTATGAATGTCAACTACATATCATAACTAAGTTGCTCTCAGCTTCTCTTATATTAAAATTTTTTATCCATTATTGTTCCAAACTCTTTCCTCTTATCATTTTCTCCGTTATCAATTTTTGCCCCTCATCTTATCAAAGACTCCAGAACATAATATTGTCCATATCAAAGTCTTAAAATGTTCAATGTTTTGCAGTGGATATGGCATCAACAATATTTCTTTCAACTGGACAATAAAATCCTTTTTTTTTTATCAATTTTACTTGAATGGATAAAATTGACAACAAACCTAAAGGCTGCGGATAAAAATTGATAAAACTAAAAAGATTTGCTAAAGCTAATAATCCTGAAAAGGTTGAGAATTGATTAGTCATTCATATAGGCAGGCAACTTACAACAAAATTCCCAACAATTACTGACACCATCAATGCAGTACCTATGGAACCTTCTGTGATGCTCAAAGAAATATGAAGTTCAGAATCATCAATTTTCTTGCTTTCCGTAGCTACTAGACCTCAGATTCTGCAAATAATTGCTGATTCACCAGTCTAACGATAAAATCGTGTATTTAAAGCAAGGCCAAATATATCAAAATACCCCGAACTCTATAGATTTTTGCAATTTCACCTATTTTAACCTTTTTGTCAACTTTACCCCATTTTCGCCCTTTAGAAGCAAGAGCACTTTCAATTGCAATTAAGGATGGAATTGCAAATAAAAAAAAAAATTAATATGTTGCACGTGTTAAATTTTAATTTTTGAAACAAATGTGCTAATTCATAATTTAGTAACAATTATTATTTTGAATTGATAATATAGTCAAATTATTGGTCGTTTAATAAAAAATAAATTAATAACTTCTTGATTATTTTAATTTCACGTCTCAAATATCATATATCTAAGTCTATAAATGTGCCCACTAGATGTGAACATAATTTAATATTCAAAGTACATTTAAAATTTTATTTTTATTAGTAGTTTTAAAAAAAAAAATGGAAATATTTTCTTCTTTGCAATTCCATCCTTAATTGCAATTGAACGTGTTATTGCAAAAGGTCGAAATTGGAATAAATTTTATAGAAAGGTTGGATGAAATTGTAAAGGCTTGCAAAATTCGGTATATTCTGATACATTAGGCTATTCAAGCAACTACCCATCCCTAGCATTTGAACTAATCCAAAATCTATCCTAGAAACAAACCTGCAATCCATCCCACATCAATGTATCACATGCAATGCAAGTGAAAAAATGGTCAACTTGACATTTGAAAAGCATTATCTGCAAGGATAGAGTAGTATATTCGTTGCAAAATCTAAACCTAAATTATACAACAAAAACTATGGGTACATGTAGACAGGTTCTGTGTAATTTTAACCTGCCACACAAGTATAAATATTACTCAATGAGATTATCATATTTGCACGAGATTTTAATTGATTTGTGGCATCTTAACTTGTAGAATAAATAACGATATCATATTTGAAGGATGCCACATTTGCGACAACATTGTTACTTTGATGTCTGTGCATCAAACACCAGCATCGTGACTTGTGTGTTAATCATAATTAACGGAAAAATAAACAACTTAGGCTGAGAGGAAGGGGAACACAATTAACAACAAACAACAGATAATTTGTTAATTTTGCACATATTAACAAAAAAGAAAGAATTGAAAAGAAAATTTAAAATTTATAAATATAAAACTTGTACCTGATTCCTCTCGTAAAGCATGTGATTCTTGGTAAAATACTTATAGGTATCTCGTCCTTTAGCTAGCATAACTTGATCGATAGGGCTTATAATTCCGATAACCCGTGCTAATAACGTTGCTGGTGAATCATTTTGAAAGAGTACCTAAAACATGAGTTTAGTTAGCCAATTTGCACTAGAGTCATCAAAGACTAACCTAGCTATCAAAAACCGTGCATCACATTCTTCCAGTGTATGAGTAATTATTCAGGAAAAAAGGAAAATTCTCTAAATTATCTACGCCTCAGAGATAATTATTCATTGTGATTGTCAATACAATCCTCAAAGAAAATTGTCAACAGATAAGTGAAATTCCAAATAACTTTGGCAAAAATATTTGCTCCAGATATAAAGATGATTCCAGAGACAAAATCAATTTAATAGACATCCATCATATCCATCTAAGAGGACAATTGAAGCAAAAAATTGAGAAGAAATTTAAGAACTGAAGAAGATACTTTTAATGAAAAAGAAAATAAGAAGTGAGTAGGAATATACTTCTATATTAAAAAAAAAAAATGAACACTTTTTTTTTTGGGAATTAAAAAGAAATGTAAAACAAGCAAAAGAAAGGAAAATCAGAAGTGATAAAGCACACTGATAGAGAACAAACACATAATGACACATCATACTGGCACCCTCTCCCTTCTCTCACTAAGAAAAGAATTAAGATATGCTAATAGTTATTATAATGTCTAATGGCTAAAACATACATTGCCTGTACAAAGTTCAGCCAAGATGCAGCCAAGAGACCAGATATCTATCTTCTTATCATATGGAAGCCCCAAGATAACCTCTGGAGCACGATAGGATCTGGATTGAACATAGGAGCATAGATGATCCGTCTCAAAACAGCTACTCCCAAGATCAATGACTTTCACCTCACATCTACTATAACTTTTCACCAATATATTCTCAGGCTTTAAATCACAATGTATAAGGCCAAGTCCATGCAAAAACTGAAGTGCCTCCAAACATTGAATGGTAATTGACTGCACAATAGAATTCAAGGGAAGATTAAATTAAAGTAATGAAAAAAAAGGAGCTTTCTAAGGAAGAATATGGCACATCACAAACCTGCAATCTGGGCATTGTAAAGTAAACCTCTCCTCCTGATTCTCTATTGAACTTATGGAACTCATATAAGTTTGCCTTGAGAAGTTCACATACAATTAATAAATGCTCCTGCAAATAAAGTAGAAAAGAAAAATTAAAAACACTCAATTATCCACAATAGGAAACCAAATAAACCTACTCCCATGAACATAAAATAAGCTTAAAAGGACTAAATTGTACTTGAACACCCATAGCACATTCTAGTTAACTATGGCCAGAATTAGCAAACAATATAACACCCAGCATTAGCAGTATATTGAAGAATTCACTCATTAACCCGCCAGAAAAGTGATTCGTTAAACAATCTCATGTTTTGAAAGATTAGGTAAATCTTTAAAGCAATATCATAATAAGAGATTTATAAAACATTCTCATAAGGTTCCTCATTACTATTACTTAAGTTATCTATAATATTTTCAGGCACGTTTTAATATCCACAAACATGTATCCAACTTTAGAGGTGGCATTCATTCCCACCGAACATAAGCCATGATATTTCAGTACCTTCTTATCATTTTCTGAATTATGTCTGTGTATGTGTACCCTTTACACTGGTGATTGGAAATCGGTAGCATATTATTCAAGATAAGCTATCATTTTATTAGGTGACAGAAATGGGTGCAATCAAATATGCAAAAAGTTGCATATTAAATACTACCTCCATCCCAAAATTATAGTTCCAAATTTTTTTTTTTCATGCACTTTAAGAATAGTTTGTTAAATTAGCTTAACTATATTCTTTTTCTTATTTTTCCATATATACCCTAAAAATTGTATATTAATTTTTCTTTGAAACTTTTAAAATAGGATGAATAGTTAGCGTATCAAGATTTTAAGATTAATTATCTTAAGACTTTTATCTAGTAAATTCAACTTATATTAACTATTTGCACGGATTATTGCAAAAAGGAAACTGGAACTATAATTTTGGGTCAGAGGGAGTAACAATTGTGAAAAATAGTAGATAAAATTAAAATAATCTCAAAATTGTACCAACTGCAAACCCCCGGGGAGGAAGTTGATGAAGATGGGGCGAACAAATATCAAAACTAAATTGGCACCAAAAAGCAATTAAAGTTTCTATATCAATGATATATCATATGCCACAATGTATGACTCTGTATGTTTATTATGTAAGAGGCTAAGAGCCAATAAGATGTATCAAGAAACCTTCAAGAGTTCCATAAGAACCTAAAGAAAAATTTTTTTTATTAGGGATACAGTAGTAATGTGATATTGACAGCTGAGCTAGAACAAAACTCGTAAAGTAGTGAACAAACAGGAAAATATAATCAGAAAGACAGCATGCATCTACTTACACGGTAATAGAAGTAATCATACAATCTGAGAATGTGGTACTTGTCAGCAGGGTCATGCTTGTTAACATACTTTAGAAGCTTTATCTCATCAAGACTCTGATCAAAGAAATCCTTATTGTTTTTTATGATTTTAACGCAGACATCCATTCCTGTATGCAGGTCATGCGCTTGTATAGCTTTACTGAAAGCAGCTGATCCAAGATACTCAGTGACATGATAACGCCCAGCTATTACAGAATTTAAAACAACATGGAAGTTCTTGTCCTCCTCAAAGCCAGTTCTGAGCAACAGAAGGAAGAGTTCAGGTGAAGAAGTCTGGTAGAGAATCAAGGCACAGATAATAAAATCAATGAAATGAAGCATTTAAAATGAGAAGCTTGATTGATATTTTGTTATGAAAAATGACTAAAGAAAGTGAGACCATCCATTACAAGTGATGAATAATCATTGCAAATATTGCACAAGACTACATCAACCTCCAATACTATTAAGGTATTTTTCACTACTTGATGCACCCAAAACTGTCTTCAAGAGGAGGACCTATTCTTAATTTCAATTTTTTTTTTTTTTTTTTTAAGCCCTCAACAAGTGAGAAAGCTTAATAAGTAATTTTACATTTAGGCCATGTTTAGTACAGACAACAGAGCAAGTGGACTATAAAATAAAATAGGGAATTTAATGGAATGAAATGAAATGGAGACTAGAATTCTTGTTCATGTGTTTAGTATACATCATGAAATTGATAGGAATGGAATGGGAAATTAGTAAAAAGACCAAAATAATAATCAATAATTTTACCATAACTTAATTTATTCAATGAATTATTTTATTAAAAAGGCTTATTTTTTATATTAACCATGCAATTGTCTTATATTTTTGCAAAATTGTGAACATTTTGATGGAAAATTATTTCTCATTTTCTTTTTTTTTTCCTCAAAATATAATTTTAAATGGGATTATACTTTTTGGCAAAATTTTATCAAAAGAAAAAACATTTTTTGGCAAAACCAATAAAACTTGAAGTTTAACAAATAAAACAAATATATATATATATATGCAGCAAATGTTTAGTTCCATTAAAATATTAATAAAATGGCAGCTAGATGTTGGAGAAGACAAAATGGAATAAGCAAATGATAAAGGGCATATATGGTATTTAATAAAAATGCACATATGGAATTGGTATTCAGAGCCCAATCTATTCCTAAATCCATCACCATTCCAGATCACTATTTTCTCCTTAACAAGTGAATGGGTAATGGAAATTACATTCCCCATTCTATTCGGCATATTAAACCCACCCTTACTAAAGTGGTTTAGCAATTTTTGGTTTATTTTCCTTTACAAGGATGTAGCATCTAATGAGGTTTGGTTTATGGTTGAATTAGAATATTTTGGGTGCACACATATCTCACACGTTCAGCTAGCCAACTTCACAAAGTAGACTTCACCACTTTCAGCAACCCAATTTCAAAAAGTAAATCAGGCAGAAAATAGGCGAACAGAAACAATACTATCCTAGCCAAAAATCAATCAGGATAATATCCCATCATCAATATGTGCAGCCAACAAAACAAGCATGAACTTACATCACTCTTTAAATATCAGACCTAGAGAATGCAACCGTGACCTTTTAGTCAAAGAGGATCAGTTTAGGCTTAGCACTTGGCAGAAAACCACAAGATCATTGATAAAGTTATAGCTTAGGTCTTTTTTTGTCCCTCTTTCCAATAAGTCGTATCATATGCCATCAGAATGTTTCAAAACATTCTGATGGAATCAAAAGATCTTGAGAAACAACTCTTTTTAGTTCTAGAATCTCTTTTTAGTTCTAGAATCTCGATGCTTCACATCAAATAACTCCAATAACAAGGATAAAGGCGTTAAACTTATTAATCGATTAGATTAATATCCAAATACGTCTATGATTAGCTACCTAAAGGAAATTCCAAAAAACTAGTAGAAGCATTTTACTAAAATTCCAAGAGATCACCAACGATATTAATTTCTTACTTTTTCCCCCCAGTTTGTAATTGTATAGAGATGTTGAAGGTAAGAAATAAACTTTCAATATCTAATGCAAACTTTGTGGGATCATGGTTCAGCCAAGCAGTGAAAGCAAATAATTGAAAGGAAAAATCTATGACTGAACAATAGACATTTCTTTTTTGCCTTCATCTTCATATTTCCTTGGATCTTTAGCCCATTTTTTAAATTTCATTGTTAAATTTTCTGTCCAATCTTTTCTTTGTCTTATTTCTATGGATCTTTTGCCCATTTTTTCTGTTTTCGTTAGTTATATTTTTTTGTACAATCTTTCCACTCATCAGCTTGTATAATTTGTCTAAATCACGGAAGAAACTGCAGCATGTCATTGTGTTCCGCTCAATGATTGCAACAACGTTGTACTACATTAATAGCAGAGGAATTCAATTTAAATTTCTTTTATGTTTCTTATGACATTGAATATCAAAAAATAAAGGAACTTGGAAATTTTTAATTTCTAAAAATTTTTTTTAAAGAAAGATCTTATAGGCAAGAATTCTGACCATATAGGTTCTGTAAACAAGTTGAAAACTACATTAATGGATTTAATCCCCATTTACTAAATATATCCCACCAATGATAATCCAGATAAGCACTAAAAACAAGCATATAAAACTCAAACTCATTCATTTCAAAGGTATATCTACGCAAACTTTTGACAAATAGACTCGTGGCTAGTGGCTACATTAGATTTAAGATTGTCAGGTCTATGCTTATTCAATGATCAATTTGGAATAAATAACAAAAATGCACAAGTTCAAATTAACTCTGTAAGATTTAGTTAGAATATGTTCTTCAGATTCATTCTCTAAGGGCCTGTTTAGTTTGGTTTTTGTTTCTGGTTCTTGTTTCTCAGGAATTTATCACAAAAACATATTTATTTTTGTTATTTGGTAATTTATAGAGACCACAAAAAGTGGTTTTCTTTATTTCGTCAACCCATTTTCCAAGATACAAATTTAGTATAAGGAAAAAAAACCCCAAAAACAAAAGTGACATCAAACACTCCCCAACCCCAAAATTTTGTTAGAATACAGTTCCCACCGTTTCAAGTTCAAATCCTTCTTATACAATGTGCATTAACAACTCAGGGTCAATCCTTCGATTTCAAATTTCCTATACCAAAAAGATAAAACCTCATATAATCAAGGAGTTCATACCACCTTTGATTCAATCTACATGCACCTTAGTTTTCGATTGGCATTTACTCCATTGCACGGAACTTATAATTTCCTATAATATTTCTTTTGAGTAAAGCAAGAAAGTGTTGGAAACTAGGCCGAACCTATCCAGTATCAATTGCATATATAGTAATGGCTTAGGAATTCCTCAAAGATATTGATAGCGTGCATCACTATGTTGGCCACAGGGAAAAGTATTATGCAAGCAAGAAGCTGTAGTTTAAGCAATCTCATTAAAATTAACATCAACACTAATGGAAGCATCTTAAGCCAAGATAGTTTACCAGCAAACAAATCATCAGATCTAATTTTATATTCAAATAAGTTTATCAAAAGAGGACATGCCTGTTTTTCCTGTGAACAATCTTGAGGTTGAAAGTTTCAAATTCCTCCTCTTGAGCCTTGATTTGCCTTACTTGCTCTTGAACAGCAGCTGCCTCTTCATCCTCAATTGCTGCCCCAGGATCCTCCTCCCTCGCACAGCCAGTTTTCTCATCGTCTTCTTTTATGGCATGCTCTTGTTCAGCCCCACCATAATTTGAGAGTGTAGAGGGAGAGGAAGCTGCAGATCTAACAGCATTAACATTATTCTCATCCCGAGAACTTTTGATGGTTGAAGAATCACTACTTTTCTGCCTCCATGCAACAAGCATATTGTCCGCCACCACCGGCGCATTATTATGGTCATCAATTTCAGCACTAATAATTGTTTTATTGTTGTTTGACCATAAAGATTTACTAGAACCTGCCTGCCCCAATTGCCCATCCCTCAATGGTGGGGGAAATGAAAATCCCCCATCTCTACGATCTTTTACTTGTGAAGATGCAACTTTGTCATTCACAGATCCATATATATTGGAATCCTGTTTAGTGATTCTCTTTTTATCCCTGTTTTGTCTGTCGACATATTTCTTGTCTGATTCATGGTGAGAGGATCTCGACCCACCAATGCCAACATCATGCTCATGAAAATACTCTAAATCCCCTTCACTACTGCCTCCAACCAAACTTTCCCGTATTTCACTGCCAAACTCAGCAGCATCACTATTCATACCCACACCAATTGACCTAACTGAACCATGTTGATCATCATCAACACAAATATCATCTAGCCGTGGTCTTCCACCGTCATTTAGGGCCTTCCCATCTCCTAGCATAATGAGCTCATTCGTCTGAGTGACAAATCCCTGCCAGACAGGTTCTGCACGCATCAAATTTAGTTCTTCTTCATCCATCAATTGTCCATCATATTGAGCTATTAAATCATTCTCATCTGTCCTATACATTTCTGTCACTGACAATCCTATAGGATCATCTGAAGCTGTAACTGGCTCAACAGTCTTTGCTTGAAAATACTGCTCACCGGAGAAGTAAGAATCCTCCTCGGCAAATGATTGATCATCATCCTCATCTTTAGTTGGACCCCTTTCCTGTGGATCTGGAACACTACCATGCCCCGTTCCCTTCTCATTGTCGCTTGGGTAATCAATTTCATGAGCAAGAAACCATGCCTCATCCTCAATCGGTTGTCTCATGTATCCAACATCATCATCATCATCATACTCATCAGAATCCCAATATTCATTAGGATAATCAATGGATTCACTTAATCCATCACCAATTGTAGCAAAACCAGAAACCAGATCTGATGTGTCCTCAGCTATTCCTTGACTCACAGAGAGCCAGCTACCTCCAGCAATCCTTTTGCCACCTAACACATTAATTCAAAGATAAAATCATCAGGCAAAATTTAGAAGGAAAATCAACAAAACAAAAAGACTAAATAGCATATGGCCTAGAAAGGAAAAAAAGAAACTTAAGGCAAAAAAAACTGCCCAATGCAGAGAAACATGAAACTCCAGAGGAAGCAAGTTAAAGAGTAAAAACTTTGAATTATGAGTAGGTATTTTGAGTTCACTGAAATCAAATAGCTGGTCATTCAGTGTATTATAACATGTACCAATATTTATGAAGTTTTCCAAATTGCTTGAAATTAGAAAGTTGAAAGCTTCTAGATTTCTTATGATTTGGTTGTATGGGTCATTAGCATGCAGCTTTTTACTCATTGTCTAGGACCATCAGCTTGCTCTTGCTTTTTATTATTATTACTGTTATTATTATTATTATTATTGTTGTTGTTGTTGTTATTATTATTATTGTCCTTTAGAACCACCAGAACTTCTCACATTCAAACAGTTCTCTAGATTTCTCTCCTACATACATTAGGATAGTAACAACAGACCCAACAGACCCAGCTAAAGAATTCACCTCTTCTAATCACCACCCAAAGATAAACATTTCATTTCACTTGAGTTGACAAAGGGCTCTAAAAGCAAACAACAAGAAGGTCCCAAAAGGCAAGAATTTATCACTGAATAGGGTAATCTTATATTTCTTACACTTATCTTCTTTCTTTTTATTTTTCATTAGATGCTATCAAGGATAAGACAATTTGCAAGAATTTAGAACTTGATTTCTTGTTTACTGTTGATTTAAGGGTTATTATTAAATATTAAGCTCTTAAGAGGCATAAATGGATGCAGCCTCTGTATCAGATTCCAGATCATTGTCTCTGTTTTCAAACATTTTCGATTCTGTTATATAAAACCACTCTGCTACCCACACCTAACCTAAAGATTAAAAAGAAAAAAATTAAAGAGAAGGAAATAACACTCCTGTAACTGATCCAAAAAAAAAATCCCTATAAAAATACAAAACCAATTGTTACCAATAATGATAAAATGGAAAATTCATGCAAAAAACCCTAGCATTTTTTTTCCTCAAAAAGGCCCACAAACTCTTCCTAGCCAAAGCCAATAGAATTTTCTTGGCTTCACCGCCTCTAAAACATAGAAACCGTACATCCAAAAACTGAATCTTGTTTAGAACTCTCATCTGCAACTAACCATTGGCATTTTCCCTAATAAGGATTACTGCCAAACAAAAAAACAAAAGCTTTAAACTTTGGAAAAGACTTTATCCTAAAATTAAGCATAAGGAACAGGGTCACATCACGAAATGGAGTAAGATATTTCAAAGAAACCACTAAAAATTTCCAAGTTAAAAAGCCAACCATACTACCTATGTAAATGGCAAAAGGATCCAAGGGATGTTGGGAATAAAGCAAGATTCTTCATCTCACTATAATTTAGGTTTCCAGATGAAATTTCTAACTCCTGACTTAATAAACAGCTCCCCACCCAATATGTTAATGGCAACACTTCGCTCTTAAGCAGTTATGTGTCTATGGTATCAATGCCAGCAGAAACCATCATAGCAACTTCCATCACAATGCCATATTCTTAGACATCAGGATGCCAAAAGCAAACTACCTTTACCTTCACAAACTATATGCCAGGTAACCAGCTTATACTCTAAATCCAGCTACTAAACATAAAAAAGTCCATAGTTTCTAATAACAATCCACCATATGACAAACTACATAACCTTTCCACCTAGAATCTCTTAGTAAATTTAGCAGCTGTTGGATCCATAAGAAACCAACCTCTCATTTTTTTTATAACAAAACAACAAAAAAAAATACATAGGTAAACTTTCTGGTCTCATAAATGATAAGAGAATAAGAAAGTAAATTAAACATGAGCTAGAGCATCATCTAAATGTAAATTGGTAATTGCTCTTGGGCTTGTTGATTCCTAAATTAAACACTTCCTCAACAATATGTAAGCCATTTAAGATATTGTCAAAACTAGCCCAATTATCAAGTGACAAGAAAACAACTGCCATCCTTAAAATGGATGTGACAGCAGTAATTTTATTAGACTTCCAATCTTATACCCCAAATCAAGTCCCTACGACATCCCAAACAAAAGATAATAAGAGTAAGCAAAAAGGAAATAAAGGATCACCGTAACTAGTTCCAAAGGCAGCAGACTGAGTTTTAGGCTCTAATAATGAAAAATACTGCTAAAAATAAACCACCTTAATCCAACTCCACCTCATGGATTGAACAGCCAAATTGGAAGGCCAATTATATAGCTTTTCACTAAGTTAAAACTTGGGTATAGTTAAATAATTGAACTCCTTGTAGCCATAACTTTAACAAGAAATCCTTAGCGATCAAACCATATTCTCGAAGTTCAACTTTAAAAACTGAGTTTCCCTTGTTCTTCAAGAAGCATCAACAATCTCGGTAACTGCTAAAATAGCATTTAAGATTCATCTTCCTATGCAAAACAAGACCACAGAAGTGATTGTTGGTATTTACCATTTTTTGTCATGAAAATACCACATGAGAAGATTCTAATATTTTAGATCAAAATATACACCACACTGATGAATTTTGAAAGCATTGGAACATACCATCCCCTTAGGCCAGAGCATAATTTGCAAAAATGTTTTAAATGTGTATGCTTTATGCAAAAAAATTATTGAACATGATTGAGAATTAGACATTTAAGGTGTAGATTTTTCTAGTAAGTAGCTCTAGAAATATACAACATACAAGATCTTTCTATAATGCAATCTTCATTTATCAAATGCAAATATGTCATACAACATCAGGAAAGCAACATTGGATCGCAATCTCTACAGACAAGACAAAAGAAATGATACAATTATTAACATATCATTGGCAGAAAAGTTAAAGATATCCCTTTTTTATCTAGGATGGAAGATGGCATAAGGTTGATGCAAGAAGGACATCGATATTTCAATTAGAGTTTAAATTATGTTTTCAAAATGAGTGTGAAGGAAACCACCAGAAAACTAACTCCCCTTTTTAATGCCTTTTCAGTCGATAGTATCTAGGTCTCAAGAAATGTATGAGCACAAGCCTATGAATCAAATCAAAATCAAATTCCAAAGCCTAGACTATTGTAACCCAGCAATGCAGTTACACAACTTAAACGTGGCCATCATCTTAATTCTTGAGCTAAAATGAATCAAAACCTTAACAAGTTAGGTACGCTAAATTTTTATGATAAACAGAATATCAATCATGACAGATAACAAATAATTTCTTCTTTCCCCTTTTCTACTTTTGAATCAATAATTTACATCTACGACTACTTTTGAATCAATAGTTCATCTACAGCTACTATTGAATCAATAGTTTACATCTATAATTACTCTCAAAGCAAAATAAAATCAATATAAACAAATTAAATATTGCTGCCAGCATACGAGAATATAATTGGAGCAAGTACAAAATCATTATCATTCCCAATCAGAATACAAAAATTATGAGCTTAGGCATCATATAATAAATATTCATTACAAAAGCTAACCTGAAGAATTGATTTCTTGTCCAATAGGAACATCAAGATAAGACCCAATAAGAAAAGTATTATCAGCACTACTGTGCTTCGGTCCTGACCCATCATGCTCAAATTTTTCCTGCCAATTGACATTTAATGGTTTGTCCTCTGACTTAAGTTTAACAGGGGGAAGCCTCGGAAATTCTTCCTTTGGATTATCAGATGCAAGAGGAAAACTCAAGCCACTTAAGTTCTTTTGCTCTGCACTCCCTTGAGTCTTCCCATAGTATAAAGCCCTACCAACCTCATCCACCTGCTGTTTGATTGACACCCTAACATCAACCATATCAGTTTTTTTCTTCCCTTCTCTTTTGTCCAAACCAGTGTTGGTATCATAACTGGTTGATACATCACCCTTGGGAAATGGAAAAACAGTCTTGACAGAACAATCTTTCCATGTGTTTGCAGAACCAGTGGGCTCCTCGCTTCTAGACCATGAGTTATCCATAGAGTAAGCAACAGCAGTCTTCAGCTGCTGATCAAGTTCCTTTGGTTCCCTTATTGGAAATTTGTCATACTTGGATTCTGCTTTAGCATTGCTAGAACTTGTGCTTCCAAGCCACAAACTTCTCTGTTCACCAGAGAAGACAACCTCATCTCCAGACTTTACAATTGCTTTACTAGAGTAGTTATCATTAGTACCACCATCATTCTGATAAACATTAGAAGAATGACCATTGCGAGCATTAAAGTTCCATGAATATAAATCAAGCACAGTGTCCTCAGAATCAATTGCAGCAACTGCTTCATTAGGCTTATCACTCCAGTCTCCAACCAAAGCAGAGTTTCTCCATTTGCTCTCAGACCCATTTCTGCCTGTTCCACACTCTATCTCTTTAACAATAAGCTCATTAGAAACTTCATAGCTATTACGAGAACTGAGTCCCTGATAGTCACTTCCCTGTTTGCTCCCATTCTCTTCTTCCAAAACCTTTCCTAATTCCTTGTTTTCAAGGGTAAGTTTTTTAAGGAATCCATTCAAATCAGGGCGGTTACTTAGCTCACTGCGCAATGCTGCCTCAGCTCTGGTGAAGCGATTTCTCCGTAGAAAGTCCAGAATGACATCAACAGAGCTTGTATCCGCCATAATCAACTAGAAGTGTCTACCAGCAGATATTAAGAAGCAACAGAGCCTGGAGGAAGAAGGGAAAGTTTAGCCCATAAAGCTCCCACCCTTGGCAAAAAAAAAAAAAAAAAAAAAAAAAAAAAAAAAAAAAAAAAAGAGAGAGAAAAATAAAAATAAATCACTAGAAACCAGCATCTTTTCTCTCTTCCCTCACCTCCCCATCCTCCCAACCTTCGGACATTTGTAGAAGAGGAATTGAACTCACAAGCCCCTTTAGAAGTTATGCGACAAGGTTATACCTCAGCTATCTTGGCTTGTTTTCTAGCTAAGTTATGCTTCTGCCTTGGGCCATCTAACTTTGTATTTCTTAGGGTCCTGGATAATGGGAACTATGAAAAATTTGAACTTTACCCCCACATTCTCCACCATTCAACATAACATCACCTTATTGTTTTTCAAACGGGTCATCAAGACAATAGGCAAACTAAGAACAATATACCAAGTTCAAATCTATCTCTTTACAAAACAAACTTCAGCTATGATGACAAAAATAAACACCCAACCAGATAAAAATTTAAAAGGCAGGAAAATTTAAAAAAAAAAAATTCAAATCCCACATCCTCATTCCCTCTTTTCTGCCCATTTTATGAGACAGAGAGGGGGCAGGCTTACCTCGCAATGCCAAAAATCAAAACTAAAGTCAGTTAAATTTTCACCATTTTCCCATCAACCAAACAACAAAAACCCTAAAGACGTTCCAAACGCACATAAAATCCAAAAAGACGTGAAGATCCAAAGCCATAAGACAAAACCCTAAAAATTTTAGAAACAACAAAACTCGAAATCCCAAAGTGTACCACTCAATTAATCGCAAAGCTACAATCTACTAATTAATTGAAACAAAAATAAAAAAAAGAAATACGTGCATTACATCGACAAAGATACTTACAGATCGAAAATGGCGCAAAATTGAAGCGATTGTCTGAGAGGGAAAGGAGAAGAGCTTTTAGGGAGAGAGTAGATTCCACAGCCATTTCAAAAGGAAAACATCACTAACATAAACAGCAATTTTGCATTTATTTAAAATAAATAAATAAATAAACTTTGGCCTGCAGTTTCTCTCAGGCCCGGCATGGCACACGGGAGCTAAAAGTTTTTGTAATAATAATAATAATAACTGAGGGGTGATACCGTGTCCTGCATGTGCCCCATTGTTTGCCTCGTGATCTGTGCCCACATTGTTTACGCCCATCTGACGGCAGGCAGGGTGCGTATCAATGCGAATAATACCAAAATATATAATTATGCATTATATATAACTAATAATTTAGATAAGATTATAATTGTATCTCTGTATTTTATTAAAAAAAATTATTTTACCCTTATTTTTTAAAATAAAATAAATTGTTATATCTTGTAGTTTGAATTTGTTATATTAGATTACTCTTCCGTTCAATATTTACGATTTAAAACGTTAAATACGTGTGAAATGATAATATTGACCCAATTTTCACTTATCTCAATCTCTAATTTTTCTCCTCCTTCAAAATTTCCTCAAACCCTAAATATCAATTGGCACTTCCATTAATTTTTTTTTTTCATCATAATCATCTTCTTTTTTTTTTTTTTGATGACATCATAATCATAATCATCTTCTTTGCACACAAAATAACGTATCGAGTAGTAAAAAATTAAATTAGCAATGTCAATAGCCAATCAAAAACGATGAAAAGAAAAAACTCAATCATCACTATCATCTTTTTTTAATGGCAAGTAATACCATTGGAAGCAAATGTGATGGTTGACAAAGTTGTAGGCTTTTGGATATTTTCTGTAAATAAAAGTATAACCAATTAATGGAGAGTGAGCTTTGTCTAGTTTTGAATTTCTTATTATAATGAAAAATTAGGCAAGATCAAAAAATTCATTACAAAATTCAGAAATTGTTGACAGGCTTTTTCGCAAGTATACGAAATTGCAAACAAGTAATAAAGAGCAAATATAGTATCGTCCCACTGTTGACGCGTGTCTTTATGCCCCCGCTTGATCCAATGATGATACGAGGATGTGGAATGAATGGGTTAATGCTATCTAGAAGTCTTTTAATCCTGGAATGATGGTTAATGCTATCTAGAAAGTCTTTTTAATCAGGATTTAAATTAAAAAGAAAAAAAAAGGAGAGGATTGTTAAGTCTTTGACTTGGTCATAGACTGCGTCAAGCAGCTATGATAAACTACGTGACGTTTTTTGTATTAAACACATGAAAGCTCTGGTAACAGCATACAGCAAGTAAGCTGCATCACGCAGCTATGCTCTGTGACTTACTTCTATAAATAGATCTTTTTCTCACGTTTGAGACAACTTTGGACGATTTTTGAAAACCCTGAAAACATATTGTGCGGCCTTATTTTCCTCCAGAAGCTCTTTTGAGTTCGTTTGAAGGAAAATTGCATTAGATATCAATTTTAGATGAATTAAATCATAAAAAGAGAGAAAAAAATCAAGAGACTAAAGAAAGAGAACTTGAATCCTTGGAAACAAAGCTTATGGGAGATCTTAACTATCACTTGTTAAGACATTCAATCCATTTACAATCCTCAAACTGAGGATTAGGTAATAATTTCTTTAACCTTCTTTGTATTTTGTACATATTTTTGTGGTTTTAGTAATTTAGGCTTCTTTAAATTGTATTCTGTTCATATTTGGCCATTTTATGTGTCCTTAAATCACATTTAAATTAATCTAAATAAAGCGTTTGAAAACGAGCTTGGGCCAGAACAGCTCCGTCACGCAACTGTTCATACAAGAACAGCTGCGTCACGCAACTGTTCAACCAAGAACAGCTGCGTCGCGCAACTGTTCATTAGGAACAGCTGCATCCCGCGACTGTTCATCCAGGAACAGCTGGGTGACGTAATTGTTAGCTGTGTGACATAACTGTTCTAAGCTTCCAGAGTTAATTTTTCCAATAAATCTAAAAATGACCAATTATGAACAGATTGCAATTTATTTAAGTTTAGAATATTAAAATGTAATTATGCATGATTTTGGGTTTTTGGTTTTTGGGTTTAAATTTTGAATCGGGTAGAATGTATTTTTAGGTTCGGTTGATTTTGTGTGTTTATTTAACCATAAGGCAAGAGCGGGTCTTTTATTTTATTTTAGTATGTGTTATGGATGGATGGTGGATAATATGCCTTATTTGTGATGAATGCAATGGATGTATTAATTGGGACGGTTAATTAATTTCCCACATAGGAACTCGGTTCGATTCATTCGGGTTGGGTTTAAATAATTGGTTTTTTTATAAAAAAATAAAATCAAATTAGAAAATCGTAGGTTAAAAGAGGCCGGTTTCGGTTTTTCCCGGCGTCGGCTTCCAACGAGCCGGCGTACCCAATTCCCTTATCCAGAATCGCATTGATGCGCCTGACCAGTCTTTTAAATAATTTGGCCTTAAACAGAATTGAGTTTAAAATGAAGTCATTTTTATAAAGTAAAATTGGAAACGGTCCCATTACCGAAAAAATGGGTGGCGACTCAAAAAAATGTTTTATAAGACCGATTTATCGGCATCGTATCCAATAAAATGTTTTGTCACCACTGTTCATCATAAGATCATTTTCCATCAAACAACAAAAAGAGGCGTTTTACGAGTCGCTCGGGGGCGATACGAAAACACCCACGAAAATTATATACTAAGTACTAAAATTGTGTTAACCTATTATTATTTAAATGACAATAAAGATCATGTATTTGAAAATAAAAGAATTAAAGTAAAAATAATAAGTATGACATCAACCCAGAAGTTGTTGAAAAGAAATCAATGACATCAACCCAGAAGTTATTGAAAAGAAATCAAGGGTTAAAAGTTAATAGGGATTTTGACTTCACTTAATTCTATCAAGTTTATCCTATTAGTTTGATAATTAATTTTAATTATTCAAGAAGGAAAAATAACCCTAACTATTAGTTTGATAATTAATTTTAATTATTCAAGAAGGAAAAATAACCCTAAATTCTGCTAATAAGCTCTCTCGATGTTTTATTAGCTATTTTAACCTAGTTCAATTACCCATCTCTCAGTGGCAACCAAACATGGATTAAATCATTAAGTTCTTGTAATTATTTAGGAATTCACAAATTAAGGCCTTTAATTTTATAAAAACCTCCCACGAGTCAAACCATCTAACTCTCGCATCTAGTTGTTATTCCCATGATATTTATTACCTTATTCATATCAAAAATCCTTCTCTCAATAGTGATTAATGAAATAAATCAATCTAAGGGAGAAACTCTACCTAAAAGCATTAAGATCAATAATAAATTTTACTTGAATAAAGAAAATCAAAGCTCATTGTAACACCCTCCACCCAGTCCCGTGAGACCCGAGGCGGATGCCACATTCGGTGCCGGAGACACATCTTTAACTTAACATGTAATAGATTATGAATTAGAAGTAATTGAGTATTTACAAGTTTAGCGAATAATATTTTTTTTTATAGCTAAGTATTTCATTTCGTTTTCATCTCACTTTTTTTAAAAAAAAAAAAAATTAGATTGGAAAAAATCCTACAGAAATACTATAAGAATTTCCCCCTTTAAAAACTGAGCTCGCCAAACATGCCTCGCCAAACATGTGAATACGAACACTCTCAATTAAACTCCAAACTCCCAACAATCTAACATCTCCAAATAATCATCATAACACAACTAACTATATCAATCCTCAATAGCATTTTAATATTCATCAATTAATTGCATTCATTATATATATCAAGTCTTAATAAACTAATCATACCATCTCTCTTCAAATATTTTATATTCAATCATTTAATGAATCTTATGTTTATCTCCAAATATATATACCAACATACTTGATAATTAGATGCTTAAGTTATAATTCAAATAACATAATATCCGAAAATATAATAATTATACATGCCATAATTCTTACTTACATAAATCTTAATCTACTACTACTACAATAGTCTCTTCTACTCTGATGCTACTTTTCTAGTCTTCAAGCAGCAACCACGGTCTTTAACCTGTGTGATATGGATCCATTGGTGCTTCCTCTTCCTAATGGCTTGGATGTGTTCCTTATCCCTTGTTTGCTTGTTTTGATCTAATTAATATGTAAGGGATATGGGCTTCAATAGTTTTTTATTTAAGTTGTTTTGGGTTGGTTTTATGATGCAAAATGCAATCTGCCCAAATATCAAGTGTTTGGTTTTGGGCTGGAAATGACTTTATTTTGTGTTTTTAGAGTTAAGCCCATGGTGTTTTTGGCCCTAGGGCAGCCTAGTAGATGCTCTTCTTTAGGGTTAATGTTTGTTTTAAGGCATATAAATAGCCTCCTTAAGAATGTAAAACGAGATTTTTTGGCATAAATTTTGAAAATCAAAAGCAGAATTGTTCATGCTCTTGCATGTTCTTCTTAATTAGAGTGATTGTGAAGAATTGCTATCCTCTAATTGCATCAAAAGAATTTAAGGTAAAACTTATCAACTCGTTTGTGGCGTTTAATCTTGTTCTTTTGCTCGATTATTGGTGTATTACCGTTTCCTTAATAAACGGGGGTGCCATAGAGCGTTTAATCCTCGATTTATTGGTGTTTCCGTTCCTTATAAACGTGGGTACATAGAGGCGAACAAAGTTTTGGGGTAAGTTCTGTTATCTTAGTTAGGAATTTGAGTTTTCTTGTTGTTGAATTCCATTGTTGTTTGTCTAAATTCTTGTTTTCATTCTTAGATCTAGACATTATCTCTTTAGAGCTTGTTAGATCTAAATCTTGTTGGATCTTGACATTATCTCTTTAGATCTTGTTGGATCTAAACATTTTCTCTTTAAATCTTGTTGGATTTAGATATTTTCTCTTTAGATATTCTTGGATCTGAATATTTTTTTTTTCTTATTCGATCTTCTTGAATCTAGTTTTCTCTTTAGATATTCTTGTTGTTTGCTTGTTTCTTGATAAAAAAAAAAAAAAGATCCAGACATTGCAGCCTGCCTTAAGATCTTACTAATTAGATCATAAAAAAAAAAAAAAAAATGTTAAAGAGAGATAAGTCAAATTGTTGTTAAGGTCATTACCTACCTAAGTTGAATTGGGAGACAAAAGTCATTGTTGGACAACCTAAATAATAAG